AAAGGACGAACATTTAGTAAACTAAAAGCAAATATACAAAAAGACAATTTCACTTACACACTTTATAATTGTTACTGGGTTATATCTAATGCTCCAACATCAAGTATATTATTTAGCTGCACATTTACTAATTGTCAAACCTATTATTTTTATTTATATTTGTGCATTTGACCAGTACGTACATTTACTATCTACTAAACATTATTTCCTTTTCGACTAGTCTCGGTCAGCAGCAAAACAAGTAAAATATTATTTAGTATTCATCGTAATGATTCCTGGGTATAATTTTATGGCACTGGGGTCGACAAAATTGGTAAAATGTTGGATCATTTTAAGCTAATAATAAACGCTTTTTCAATTAGCATGCCAATCTGCCCGAAGTAAATATTTAATTTAATATCTCAAAGTAAACTTGATGAGCCGAAAAGCTTGTACAGACTTTATAACAAAGACTTCAAATAATTTCAGAAATATTTTATTTATTTCTTAATTTCAATGTGCCTCCATTACCATACTTACATTACTTAACTTAGGGGTTGCTGTACTTTCAGTTCAGTATTGTTATATGCTGCTATTAGTGGGTTAGTTAAACTCAAAATTACTAACTAAAATATTGGATTAGATAAGTATACCAAAAAAGGATGTATTCTTATATATTATTTAAGAACTGTTTGATGAAAAATAAACCCAAACTAAGTACATGACTATTCTCGAAATTTATGTCGTGTATACTCGTTTTTCATCCTATTGATTTTTATATTGGCCATATATTTTTCAGTATTAACAAATTTTACGTTTTTATATAAAGTACATGATTTTATGAATAATTATTGTCCTTATTTTATATATATCTTGAAGTCTAATTTACCGCGTCAGAAAATATAGGTCCAATAATTGATGCAGATTTTTTCTTGCGTAAGCGTACTTTTATAAGTTTATAATGTTATCTCGTATTATATATTTATAATGTTATCTCGTATATTACCATTATGATATATTTATTTAATATTAATATTATACCGGCGGTATAAGAAGGGATCTTTTAGCTTCAATGTGGTTATAATTAAGTTTTTTATTTACCTCTTTATTATAAAAAAAATGTTTCAGATGTTACAGTAGGACTGGGAGTTTATGGAGTTTTCTTCGAATACCCCTCAAAGAACCGTTTTACTTCGATGCAAATATATATGCAAAATCTTTATACTAAATGGGGCCATTTCGATCAATATAATACGTATAGAATTAAACTGAATGATGTTTTCAAAAGCTAAAAAATTGCTAGTTATTCCTTTGTCAGCTGTTCACGAATACATGGAATTTCATAAGTATTTACTTCTATTTGGCTTACTAACTGCCTCCATTAGCATTTCGCACGACGTTGGATAATTGATCTCACTCTAGGGGCGATTTGCATAAAAAATAGACACGTAACCGCAATTTTTTCCCAGCCAGCAAAGGGGCTGAAAGCCACTAAACTCAAGAAAATTTATTGCCATCCTTAACCTTATTGTTGTAGATATTTTACCATATTTTACTCAGTCAATTTAATATTTTCTTGTGAAAAGTTTTTCCTGCGGGGGCGTAAAATATGACACTTGAACAAGGGTCGAGGGAAAATATGAAGACGTAGAGACCGAATATCTGTATCGAAGTGGATTATTATTGCCGTTTTATATAAAGACATTGTGATAAATATCTCGGTGGACATTCTTGAAGTATAAAATTTGATATCTTCTAATGATAGCAATTTTCATTATAAGTTTTTACGGTGGTAGTAATCACAAAAATGCAGCCCATGTATTTAACTTCGAGTTTGTATGTTAATTCAGCGATATTAATGCCGTTCATATCGGTTCATACTGATTTTTTAAGGGATTTATTTGAAGGGGTATTTAATAAAAAAAATTCATGGATAGGTTCTTGGGATTTTGACTCAAAAATACAAAACTTGATTAACTAGTTTTAATTATATTATATAGGGCGTATATAATCCAAAATTCAGGTGCTTCAATATTCAAGATTCTCTGAGCGATTTGGAGAAGACAAGAAGATAGAAGGAACTCAATAGAAGGAAACCAAAAACTGTCACTAGAACTGAACACTGAATTAGTGCCACTTCAAAAAGGCTCTGGGCCTTACTTTTAAAAAATGTTGACGCTTTGCTTCTTAGTGGAAGTGCTGTTCCAAGAAAAATGGATTGTTCAATACACTTGTTCTTAGTTATCTGATCAGATAAAAAATCGAATTGCTTATCAGTATTTCGAGACATGAAGGAGCAATTCGTAGAATTTATTGTAGTCAATAGAGAGGTCTGATGGTAGTTTTGGAATCACTCTATACAATTGGTACAACTTTTCTGGCAGACCTCAAGAAATAATCAATCTATTAAAGTTACATATTACACATAAAATAAATCACTCTATTTTGGCTTTGAACGGAGAAAAATGTCTGCTAGTGACACATAACGGCCATCATTTGAACCGGCAGAATCTTAAGAGCTTAGCAGAAAATTCTGCTAAACGCACGGAATTGAAATTAGACACTAATTCACAAACACAAACTGTTCTGTGAGCAACTCGCTTTTTTCGACTGTTAGGACCTTATAACATGTTAACTACTTCAAGGCTTTTGCTAAAATTAATTTTAATCCATTTAGTCGGTAGCCAATTTAGATAAGACATCTAAATTGCTGCTGTTAATGCAATTTGCATACATATTCCTTATAGTTCAAAGTCGATACCGGTCTCTCTACGTTTCCAACTCAATACTGACGATTTGCAATAGAATATATCAGCACAACCTATTTAAAATATATGATATATGCTAAGCCGAATTGATCTTCATTAGCATTTAGTCTTGCCTTCGGAAGAATATGTTGATTAGATTCAACGAGTCAAGAGATATTTGCCATTATCCACCATTTGCAGTTAGAGCCGTAGTTTAGATTTTAAATTGCTTCTGAGAGTTACTTACTGTAGGTCATAATATATTTAGCTCCCATTCCTTTCGTAGGCAAAGTTAGAAAGGGAGTAAGATTTACTCTTATACATTCTTGAATTTTACCGTCAGTATTAATTTTAAATTTAGCATCAGAATATGTGTGTCTCTTTACTATTAATTCTAAATTCAAAATCTGCTGCTGTTATTTGAAATAATTTATTTAACATGAACTATTTAAAAAGGTTTTTAACCGCAATAAACAACAAACATAATAAATAATTGTTTTATCAGAAAGACTTTTCKGATTTTTTTCAAGAATATGTAGAGYAATTTTYTAAAGAGGTTTCGCTCTGCTTTGCTTCACGCGTTAGCTGCMATGGGTACCCAAAGTGGATTCAYCCTTAATCGTTAGCTTCGAGACAGCACATAGGAGTTTCGCTAAAAAATGTGGTTTTTTAGTATTAATTCMATTTTTTTGTTTTAATTTACACTCCTCAAAAACGCTCTATTTTGTAGAGTTTTACCTCAAAACACTGACGATCTGGAGGTCCTGAATAGGAGGCGATAAACTACAAGACAAATTTACAGCTCTGTAAAAATTTTACAAAACTTTTTTCATCATCGAATTCGCGACAAAAATTAAAATAAATTCCTCTCATTTGCCCCGATAGCCATTAAGGTTTTCTCCAAAACCGATCACAAAACTAAAAGTTTTTAATCGAAAATGCAAAAATCCATTATTTTCTGATCATTTTCTTTTTTTCTGACAATAATGAGATCTTTTCAGCTAAAATTGACAAAATTAATTTTGCTGGAAAATAGGAAATCCATTCGAATTTGGTACAAAAACCAAATAGTTTTATTCAGTTTTTTACCGAAARTAATTAGGATTATCATGAAAAACGGCCAGAGAGCAAAAGTTTACAAAACATTATTTGCAAAATTCGCCGCCCGTCGCTCAACGCTCTGAAGATTTTTAAAGTTTTTTTAAATTGTCAGGTCGTTCCCATTTTAACAAAGTTTCTATTAAGCAATTCTTTCTACGCAAAAATCGCATTATTTTTTAGTTTCACTTAAAATACTGACAATATTCAAGTATTATTTGCGAACATTTTTTTATAATAAGATACATTTTATTGGAACACTCGCTTCCTTAACCGCTTTGCAAAAAATTTTGGAAAACTTTTTGCAGCTTCGATTTACGGACAAAACCCCGGATATATAAACAAATATATCCCGGAACTGAAAAAGCGAAAGTTTATAATCAATTATTTGCAAAACTCTTGGAACTCGGGGTTTCTTCATTTTTAGGTCAATATTTCTAAACAACTGCTTTTTCCTAACGTTTTACTGTAAACTTTYATTGCAGCAAAAAAAWWGCAAAAAAAAAAGAGATTTMTYATACAAGAAAACTCGCCGACTTTCTTTGGAYCCAGTTCTGTTGCTGGGAAAATCTAGATGCCTTTTTCTAGTTGTTTGAACAAACTAGTGAAACGTTACTCAGAAWAAATGTTAATGACCTTTTTTTAGATGYGAAAATTCCAGTCTCGGGTCTCTTGAATAMAKCWYTWATRAMYCATGAACCGATGAGTTATAAGTTAAGTTATGTTATGAGTTACCCGTTAACTCAGAGAGCGGCMACAAGTCAATAGAGCAACTCAACACAGTRTTGAAGTTCTCTGGTTATGGTCATCCASTTAGAKTTTTCTACTGATATGAACTGTMTAGTTCTGCTGCTGGTAGATGCAATTTTTGGAGCTCTCGTTGAGGTTGTGGCTCTCGTTCCTTTGATGTTGAAATTCAAAAACCCTTTGTTTGGCCAATTGAGAGCATGYCAAACTTTCAGAATTGAATTTAAAACTTTTCACCCATTGCATTTTTACCATCTATTCCGATACCATGTAGGTACTTTCTTATTGTCTTTATATTTCGAGAGTTATTCTAAAATCTGAATGTCAATTGTTTCATAATTTTCAGGACAAGTCCATAATAAATCTTTGTTACATGAAAACATCATTCAACAGTTGTACACAAAGCTTAAATATTGTTTTTGGTTTCAGTGTGCTCCGGGCTTAGGAATGTACGTATACAGGTACCAGTCGCTGTTTTGCGTGGAGAAGACGCTAATTTGCAGTGTTTCTACGACTTGGAAGGCGACAAACTGTACTCTGTGAAGTGGTATCGCGGCAGTTTAGAGTTTTTTCGATACTCTCCAAGTGAATTCCCCCCAATAAAACAGTTTAAAATTAGAGGACTTAATATTCGTGAGAAGGATTCTAGAGACACGCAGGTGGTACTGGAACATGTGAGTAAAGAGATCAGCGGTATTTATAGCTGCGAAGTGACCGCTGAGCAACCTAGCTTTTTCACTGATATGCAGTCTGCCGAATTAAAGGTAAGCCATTAAATGTTTATTGTGTCAAAATGCGCTATAATCGAGCGAGAAATATCGCGCAAAATGTTTGATGTTTTTTTTCGAACTTCATTAGTCTAGACCTGTGCGTTACAGAAGAAACATAAAGTCCAAGTGTCCATTAATAAAACATTAAAAGATAATTCTGTTAAAAATTGTTATACTAATCGATTTTTAATTTTTACGACCGTACCTTTTGATGAAAATGTATTAATCACAGTAACCGAAAAGTAGGGTAATTTAGAGTTAAATACGCCCAACTCCAATATCGCGGTGACATTGCTTTGAATTGTCGATAAAGGTARTAAAGCAGATCAGGTCCGTTCTGAAGCACTTCATGACCGTTTCGTATGCGTATTGTTTATTGATCCCAACMAAATCATCAAGTGTGAGATATTCGCTAAGAGTAATGCAAAATTATAATTTGATACTTTAAGCTTTCTGCTAATGCCTTGTAATAGATASCATTTCAGTGTSTACCAAATAATTGATTCAGCTTCAGACTTCTGACTTTAGATGTTCCGTTATMATTTCATATATTTCAATTATTGAAACACTAACTTGCTTATACCGTATAGTTCATTAAASATATAGAATACTTATAATGCATTACRKGTTATGAGGGRAAAACGTATTCTTTTAAATCGTATCTGCAACATTTCTAATGTAGAAAATGAACTGAGTTCCAAAGCAAAATTGGTCTAACGGTGAAGGAGAGTAACAGTTGAATATTGGGTTAAGAACTAGATAAAATCTATTAAATRGATTCATTTTTTAATTTAAGGTCATTGAYTTGCCGCGGAAGGACCCGCAAATCAACGGACTGAAAACAAGGTACAAGCTGGAGGAAACCCTAAAAGCTAACTGCACTTCTGAGGGATCACATCCGGCTGCCAATTTGACTTGGCGTATAAACGGTAAAGATGTGGAAGAAAAATTTGTCCGTCATCAAAGACCTTCTATCTACAATGAAGATGATTTAGTTACGTAAGTGTGCTTAATTTTTTTAATTCCTGATATCTACTATTTCTGCTGGCTGCCAAGTTTCATTTATGGGAAAGATTCAAAAGCTAACTTTGTTTAGTTCTGTACTCTTGATTGAATTAAATTAAATTGGTTTGGCTTGAATAAATCGCTTTCCAAACTAAATTATCATAGAACCAGACCCTACAATTCAAAGCAAAAGTTTAACGTTTTAAAAATCGGTTAAAAGCACCTTTCTATCATTATATTTGTGGAAAATAAGAAATTATTTATTAAATTTCGTATATCATTAATATATATTTCTGTAAGTACAGTTTTGCTATAATTATACATTCTACAATTTACACTTCAATGTACATTCGAACAACTGACTTACTTCAAATATAACATTTTTCAGTGCAATGTTCGGCATACGGGTTAATTGTGCATTTGAAAAATCGATAGTTGCATTGTAGGAGCTGAAAGTTGCCCTGTAAATTTTGTTGCTTGATCTGGATGCCTGTTTTAAAGTTTTTTAATTGCCGTTTGCAATTTGACTATACCGTTGAGATAAAAAATTGCCTCGAGTAATCTGGTGTATCAAAATAAGCAAACAAATTTGCACTGCTCGTAACAACCTTCAAAACCATCTCAAATCCCATGATATGCAGTAATTGGTTTAGCTTTCTTAATATAATAAAATTTCAAAGTTAGTAAGCAACTTATTATGTTTATATTGAGGAAAAACCAAAAAATACTTGCTTCCTGAAGGAATGTAAATCTCGTTTAACGGGTTTTTCATAAAAGCCTACGCAGATAAAAAATTACTAGCATCAAAAGTTTTTTCTTTATGTTCTTTGATCTTTGCCCCTCACTTAACATTCCAGTTTCGTTTCATGGAAAGGACTATCCCTTAGCATTACCATATTTGGATATCGGCAGTGGCACGTAAATAGTGATTTTGCGATTTTCCACCTTAGGAAATATCTGTAATATTCGGGCAGATATTAAATTCGAGGGCATGTTTTTACTGGATTTTCAACTTTTAACTTACCATATTGCGTTTGCAATTAGATGGAGTCAGTCTTTTACTTGCTATTTTTTTAGATATAGATAAGATTTGCAAAAATATGACAACCAAATTTCGCTACTAAGTTTACGCCTTGATTTCTGTAATTTATGGAAAGAATTCTTACGAGCATGTTCTATTTTGGGTTCGTAAAAAGTCGATTTTATGTTGAATAAAATAATACCAAATTAGGAAAAATTCACGCAGCGTATTTCAATAAAGCTGAAATAGTTAAGCGAATAAATATAAATGAACATCCTAATAATGTTAAGCAACCCACTACTTATAATTCCTGACTCACCAAATCAATTAGTCGGCTAAATTTAATATGAAAGGATATTTGTAAAAAAAATGTTTTAGTAAAATTAGAAAATATTATTTGATTATTTAAAATCTCAATCACATACATACATAATAAAAAGCCTTGAAGAACACAGAACGACTACTACAGTTGCACCAAGACGGAAACTTATCAAACAAACAGAAAAAACATCTAAAAAAATCAGTCCATTATTAAATTCAAAATGTTGGGATTTAGTGCTTAATACAAGGTGGACCAATATCAAATGGCAATATTTTAAGGACAGGATGTGTAGAAAGTGGAACTAAGCAAAATAAGCTCGCCTGATCAAGTCCGATTCTTATGGGTTTCAAAGATATTTAGATTAAATGGTATCAAAAGCGAATAAAAAATACGCAGAATTAACAAAATAGAACAAGTGAAAATTAGTAGTAGTGGAAATCCAGTAGTGTACAAAAGATCCCACTACATCACACTTATTTGCGCGTCTATACACTGATCTAGTGGCAGCTTCGGGGTCAGTGTTTCCCTCTAAGGCACACTAACAGTATCAAGAAGTGCAATTGAAATGCAGTATTAATTTTTCTATGGCTTCACGTATCCTTTTTCTCATCTCTTCATGTGTGTTGCTATCAATGTTTGTGTACAATCTTCTTTCCTCCATGGCACTCCATATTATGGATCCTCGTTCGATTCAGCTCTGATCTTACTTAGTGAATTACTCAATTGATTTCTCATTATTAGGCTTCTAGAGTTTAAAGTTCGCAGATGTTTTTTGCTTTGCTGGGATCTTGTCTTCCTCAACCGAACTTTGAGCCTTACTATTTCTGGATTATGATCTGTTGCTACATCTGGTCCAGGGTACGCTTTAGCTGATATTATGGAATTTCGGTAATGTTTATTAATTATAAATTTTAGATTTAAGACTTAATCAATTTTATTCCTAACTATGTGATTGTTGTTATCGGTATCGTTGAGTGCCTTCCAAGTATAGAGCCTGCCGTCTGGCTGTTTAAATCTTTAAATCTGGCTGTGTTTGTAATCACCATGTCTTGTTCTTTACAGAACTGTGCCATTTTACCTCCCTTTCGTTCCCTGTACCCAATCCAAAGTCAGCAATAACATCAGACACTTTCTTTTTCCCAATTTTGGCGTCGAAATGTCCCATTTTTATTGTAATATCCCTCTTCCTTGTGACACCCAGAGCTTGTTGCATTTCATTGTAGAATGATTCTACTTCTTCGTCACTCTTATCGGAAGTGAAGGCGCACCTGAATATTGTTAAGGATTATTTGGTTTGTTGTTGCTCTTATCTTGTTTACTGTATCTGAGATCGGGATAAAGTCAGTAATAGTTTGAGAACAGCTACGGTCTACCAAAATCGCTACTCCGCTTCGGCGATGTGCGTCTTTGTTACCCGAGCATTAAATATTTGACTGATTAATTTTGATTCTCCTGAAATTTCACCCTTAAAACGGTTTCGTTTTTAACAAAAATACCAAAATTATTAAAATTAACTGAAACATAGCATATGATAAAATTATCGGCACCAACTTATTAATAGCTAAAAAATGTAATTATTCTGAAGTATATGGATCAAACATTAAGAGCCTTGAGCTTCGTAAATATTTTACTCCTGCAAAGTTAATATCAGAATATAATGCAACCTGCACCGTATTCCAGGGCCTAACAAAAGCTAATAAACTAATAATTTTCCGCTGCAAATCCGAGCTGTTTCGCGAAAATTCGTAAGCATAAGTTCGCCAGCTTTTAGAACATATTTCCTGCAGATCGGCAGTTTAATAAGTTTTCAGATGTGAGCGAAAAGTTCGTAAACGCGTTAGCTTTGAATCCGTTGTATCCGAATGCATTTCTCGGTGATACGAGAATTCAATTTTCCATGGATTTTGTTAAAAATGTGAAATGCTTCATGATTTCCAAATGGGCAGCATGCAGTAATGCAGAACGTTAAAGTTGTCTATAAATATGAATGAAGTACGGAAAGATTGAATATAAACTATCATACTTGGTTGAATTGTTTTCATAGTACTATATTGAACGTTTTTTTTGGACTAACGGCCTAACAAGTGTTTTAAATGTTTGTAAATTTATAATTGCGACTAAGATGCTACAATGCGATTTAAAAAAAAATTGAAAAACATTGAGAAGGTTTCATATAATTTAAAATGTAACAACTGGCCAGTATAGGAATGAATGTCGTCGACTCGCTTTAGAGCATCTTGACTATTAATTAATTAACGCTGTTAATTGGGAGATGTGAAAAATTACAAGCGCATCAAAATTTAAGCCAAAACGTGACTTGGTAATGGAATAAAATGATAATTTGGGGCTACTACTCGTGTCATTTCTTACATTTCAAACATTGAAAAACGAAACTTTTTGCCCTTGCCTCTAAAACTACCCTTGAATCAGATGTCCAACCTGTAATGTACAAAACGAAACTAAAAGTAATTACACTCGCATTTTATCAAAGAATGAAATGAAAGAAAAATCAAAGCTTTATTTCCTCCAAAGTCTTGTTAAACCCATTCTAAAATGTTACAAGACTGCGAAAAAGGTGGGTCAATGAGGTTTGGGAAATGCTCGTTTACCCACTATCCAGTGTTCTAATGACTTGTGTGCGAATCCAGTCTAGCTGTTTACCTACCTACCTACCTACCTAGAACCCTCCTTTTTTAAATACCTAATATTAGTACTGAAGCAACCGTGAGATGTAGTGTCTTATTTTTTTGTCCGTATTTTATGTGTAACTTTTTTCTCAATATTTTATTATCGGGTTTTTGTGATCAACGTTTGGAAAATCCGACGTTTAGAGTGGTTATGGCGTGATCCCTATACTGATATGCATTTTTAAGCTCTTAAACGATAAATAAACTACCAACTCCAGACCATTTCAGTAATTAAACTGATCACTTATAGTCTTTCGAAATACAAAAATATGTCAAGACCATAGTTCGTGGAAAATAAAGGTATTTTGTTCGAAAAATGTACATAGCTCGAAAAATCATGCTTATTCAACACAAAAAAAAACACAGACTTTAAGAATTTTCAAGTATATTAAATCATTCATGCACGAGGATAAGAAATACTGAAAAATCGGGTTTCGCCATTTTAACGGTTAATTTAAGGATTTGTAAAAAACAGTTAAAAGAAAAGTTTACGACTTTTTAATCATACGCCAGTTTTCTATCGAACGTTTTCTGAGGTCACGTTCCCATGAAACTTGCAAAAAAGTGCCCATTGCACCATTTGCAATGGTTTCGTGTTGAAATTTTGTTTTTAATTCAAATTGAAACCTGAACAACATTTTCCGCCTGGTCATTGCAAGTTTTTTTATTTTTTTATTTTTAGTATTTCAAATTCGTGTTGGCACCAGCCTAATAGGCGTAATTATCATATCACCTGAAAAACCACCGAATAATTTTGAATTTTGCTAAGTCACAAAGTTTAAACTACTTGCTTAAAAGCTTTTGGCCGTATTTCGCAAGCAAGCCCTAGGAAAATATTTAAAGAACTGACGCCAATTGTGAAGCACTTTTTTATGTTCGGAATAATTGAATCGGTGAGCTGGAAACCGTACCAACAACGTACGTTAAAGTCTGTAAAAGTCGAAAAACGTTATTTTAAGATATT